AACATGGACATCTGTGAACCGCTTCTCTTTCGACTGCAACTTGGAATTCAGTTTGATTTGTGGAACATAAATAGCGAAAACAGCTGGTTTTGTGTTTCGTTTTATCATCGTCTTTGCAACATTTGACTCCGAGTTTGTTTCTAAAGTAAACTATTTGTGTATTGACGGATCCGAGAATTTATTTTCTTTATTGCATATAATGTCGATTCCTTTGGCAATGCTGTTGGTATTTTTGCTAAGCATGTGTTTTTTTGTGTAACTTGCAATATTTGTTCTGTAAGAAAGATTCGCTAATTAATAATATAAAACCATACTGTTAATGATTACTATTAAATTTAAAATAACAGCCTGTAAGTTCAATTATCATATATAGATATTTTTCTCTCAGCATTAAATGTTTGGCCTTCAAATCTTTCAAAATTATCCAAAGTTTGCTATTAAATATTCATTGTTACACTTTCCAGTATTTTGGGACTAAATATTATTTCTATTATACACGAACACTGGGTATAGGTTTAAAATATATATTTCTTAACATTTCTATTGAAGATTACTTTAGGATTTAATGACAGAGGCTTGTAAGTAATGATACTTTATATATATTTTTTGGTTCATATTATCGATGTTAAAGAGTAAATATATAACTTGTATACATTTTCAAAACCAAATTTTATCATCAATCAATTCCAAAGTTTACCAACCAATTATAATCGATTAGAAATAACTTGAAATACAAGCATTGGATTTTTAATTACTTTGTAATTACCATATGGCTAAGACAATATTACAACAGCTGGTGATAAACATGCATTACTTAACGTAGTAATTAGACCCATTAAGAAATAAGGGTCGTTCGCGCCGTTGATTATTACCCTCTTGAACAACACTGCAACCCCTTGGATTCCGGAATTTCATTTAACATTCATGAGTTTTCACGCAATCAAACCAACAGTTGTAACAAAGATGAAATTTTAATCAGGAATAATTAGGGACCGTTACAGGCTTCAAATAGAATGTTTCCTTCAAATTAAATAGGGAAACAAGGGTTTAATAAATTGTAAACGAACTTAATCATTACAGTTACTATTCTAAAAGCGATTGTCCTCACAATTTCAGACGGCTTTTTAATACAATCCTGGAATTAATCTTGCAGTAACTATATCAGAATGTAATATAACTTAACTCAATGAAAGCTATTTAAAACCTATTCATACGGTTAGTCCTTTAAAGGAATTTGCTGTCTCTTTCGTTTTAATTCACCTCAAACTCAGTTAAAATATAGGTGAATTAGCGCGATATTTTATTTCAACATGATAAATTACGTAGCACAGACTCAAAAGTTGTTAAACTCATTGAAATTGGTTATTTTTCAAAGTTTGAATTGAAAAAGGAGGTTGGCAGGTTTAATGGCTAGAAAGTATGACTTTTGCGCTGGATGCTCGGAGAGTACAAATTATACCATCACTAATGACTTTAATCTATATGATTATATCGTGAAATGGTATTTGCCACTTCAAGTTGAGTCATCTATTTATTTAAATTTCACCAAGACACCACTTGATCGACAAATCATTTGACCGCAATGTCACTTGACCGACATGCGAATTGCTCGCAATTCCAGTTGACCGAAATTTAAAACCCGCCAGTGAAACAAGGGTAATAAATACTCGCAAAAACTTAATATATATCTATTCAATACGCATTTACGCAAATGCTGATAACAATGACTATTCTGGCCCATCCCTCTTAACCATTCCCCCCCCCCCACTTTACCACCTCCCTATTCCAGGAGCTGCGACATTAACGCCAATTAACTTTGTTGAATAAACCATTGTCTAACTGTTATAGCTGTTACCCGGACAGCTGGAATGGAGAATAGATTTAGTTTATGTTTTAGTGGAACATTAGTCATGAAATGCAAAATAGTTCAGAGAATGTTTATTTACCATCTACATTATTATCTCATGCATCCTTGTTTTATTGTTTTGTCTTCTTTAAATTTATCCTAAGCGAAACTGGTTATTTTAAGCCAAGCAGGGAGTGCAGAGTTAGTTAATTTAGTTATAGCGTAATGGGTTTTAGTGACAGCAACTAAATGTGAAAAAACATATCGTATTTTTATTGTATGTTTTTAGGTTATGATTTACGCTTGCAAAGGGGGTTTAGAATCGGTTTTTAAGTAGCACACAAAATCTCTTTAAGGTTTAGGAGTAGTTTCCAAACGTGATAAAAAAATAATTTTGTTTGGTTGTTAAAAAAAGACTCACACTTTGAAGAAAAGTACTACATGACATTCAAAGCAAACGAAGCATCTAGACAAGTAGTAAACAAGCTGTGCCAAGCGCAAATGGCTTGTTCGACAGTTTCTATTTAGTGAAAGCCATTAAACCAAATGTCAACTCCTACTAGACACAGTTCGGTGTCTAAAATCAGACACATCCACTGTCACGGCTGGACTCATTGTTGTGTCTAAAAGCGGCTTCTAGAATCATTCGATAGTGTAGTTTTGTAAAAACAGCAACTAAAGATGTCTGTGGAATATGCAATTTTTAAGCTATAATTTTTTACATCATGGATTTTTTTGTAGCTTCTTGTGGAAAGAAATTTCATATGAATAGATTTATACGATTCCGATATAACAGAATACGTGTTTTGGGCAAGAATGAATGTAGGGTAACGTTTGAATAGAAAAATTGACAGCCTTGCTATTGACTGAGATTAGTTCGTTCTTTATCCAGAACTAGTTAATATTTATTAACTGATGAATCCAGTTTTTATCTTTAAAATGTACTTCAATCCTCAAATCTCCTCATGTTTGAACTAATGACATGTGGATACAAAACTAACACATTAATTATTCGGCTAGATTCAACTGTACACTAAGGAAGTCCTTATATCTTATGTATAGTATGCTTGATGGAACCTGTCACCTGACCCTTGGGCCTTTAACCATTATCCCCAGTTAGACGGAGAGTCAGAAGACAGGTTCCAACATACAGACTATAATCCTTATTGAAATTCTAATAGTACTCTTCTCAGGTTTAATTTTCCAGCCCTAAAGAAATGTTGTCACCAATTGATATAAACACCGAGTAACATTTCTGTGAATAGGCACAACACGTTAATACAAGGTGGATTAACAAGAAATATATATGATCTTTTCTTATGTTTCATACGTATCACTTAAAAAAAACATCCAATTTTGCTTCTAAATTTGTTTAGCCCAAATTGAGTTGAAATCTGTTAGGGAATATGTGTACTTTTTACTAAATGGCATTGGTTATTTTAGCATTAATAAAAACGGCTAATTATATGTGTTTGGTTATGAAAACATTCCACAAAGACTTCTAAACATGAAGGATTGTGTGCTATTGTAGCTGTAATGAAGTCATTCGTTCAGCCGTGCAACGCCATAACAAATGTAGCATTACTGACAACAAATGACAGGAAATGCAGTTTTGTGATGTGTGGTGGTAGAGAACATAGAATCTCTGTGTGTGTTGTGTGGTTCGTGTAAAATTATTTGACGTTTAATAGGTAACAAAGAACTTCCATTTTTACTATTACTGTAGTAGTATAAAGATAGATTAAAAAGTTGACCAACTCTAGTCTTTTTATACTCTTAAGTGTGTGGTAAAATGTACACATACTTATAGGTATACACGTATTTTAGTTACAACATTATCATTTTATGTAGGTATATTTAATCCATTTCCAATATCGTAATTATTTGTCTAGCCATGGCAAACCAGTTAGTGGGTTTGGGCTTGCTCCTTAGTTTAGCATTTCAAATGAACACTCAAACGCTAACAAGTATCTCAACCCTTACAAATCAAACACTTAAGGGCGACGGATTTGAAACTGAAATCGGAAGGTTTCTCAGTTGGCTTTACTAAAATGTAAAGCTATACTTTGTAAGATGAAACCTGTCTCCTGTCTTAAGATGAAAAAGGTTCCATCGCACAGACCATAATACTTCGTAAGATTTTAGCTTATTATCCATTTAACCCGATCATATTTGTACCCAAACCATAATTCTACCAACAAAACCCACAAATTCAACCCCTTTGATACAATTACGCATTAAACCCATAGCAGACATACCTGTAATATTAAACGTTCCCAAGTGGTTTATTGCTAATTAATGTCAACGGCCTTTGCTGAAGCTATGTCCGTGTTATGTCTCGTCGGACATATTGATATATGACCCCCCCCCTGTCCCCTGCCCCCCATACAACCACACCAGTGTATCACTGCAGTAGCGACGTTACCACCAATTAGCTTCGGTGAATAAATTATTGTCTGTTACAATACAACCGTGACAGTTTGGGGGACTATGTTGGCAACAATGCGATTACTCGGTAAAATGCGTGCGAGTATTTAACTCATTCGGTTGTGCTTTTTCACAGTACGTAGATGCAATTGCGAAAATATTTAGTTCTATTCATGAGGAAAATTTGTATCTGACAGTTTGAGGGAGTTTGTATGTTGGCAACAACGTGATTATTAGGTAAAATACGGATATGATAATGTATCTCATTCCATTTCATAGCGAATATGAAATAGCTAATATTTGGTAAATGTATCATCATTCATTGTCCAGAAGTAAATTATTGTACTTTACAAACTAAACCTAAACCAACCTGTGTGCTTTTCCACCATGATCTGAGTGTTACACCATGTCATGGTTTTTCATACACCATGAGCTGTGGTTGACGTGTCTCGTCATACAGTGCATCCCTTCCCACTCTAACCTAACAAAAACTCACCAAACCTAACCAACCGAACCAATTCTAGCCTAAACTAACCTAACCTAAATTAACCTTATTACATCATTTTCATTTGCATAGGGAACATTTGTATAGTGGCTGCCCCTTCATAAAAAGACTTTAGTTTGTTGTTGCTACTTTTCTCTCGCCACGGCCTTAGAGTAGGCCATGCATTAGCTAATCCAGTACCTAATTTCGTCAGAACAAAATATTGGTCAACTTCTAAATTACCTGCGACATCCAAAGTAGCGTTTCTGCTCCTAGCTGACCCTGCGGAGTTCCGCGCCTCACACCAGTAGACGCCGGCGTCCGTCTCCTTGCGACCGTGGACCACTCGGAGGAAGAAAAGGGATCCGGCGGGGAGGAGTACCCTGGAGGGACAAACAACTTGGTGTTAGAAAACCATTGCCGTTCAGAGGGGCTAAAGGCGTAATTCCATCTTGAGTGCAACAGCTGTTACGGTAGGACGGAACTGCGGCGTTGCCACTTTTGTCTCACCATGACAAATACGTATCATATCGCGGGCTATTTGGCTAGGCAGAGTTCATACTGAACTTCGTTCAAGCATTGTAAACCCACACCAGATACTGTATCACTTAGCAGATGTGAATCACTTATAGACTATCAATGCTATAATTAGCTTTTATAACAACAAAAGTTTTCAATACTGAGCATACGAATTGTATGCATTTTACTATAGCGCACAGTTTGATTTTCAAGCAAAAAGAGAGTCATTTATTTAAAAAACTGCGGACTTAACGTAACAACGAGAAATCTTTGCAAGTTTAACATAAATTCAAAATATATTAATACTCACTTATTTTGATACTTAAGTGAACATTAATTGGAAAATCGTATTGATTGTGTCTCTGTTTAAAGCAATCAATAGATGGACAATTTCAAAACAAAAACATCTTAAAAACATAGATTGAAATTTACCTATGCGCTGCCGGCGTGAGTGGTTCTCCATCCCTATACCATGTAATTGTAGGGGATGGTCTCCCCTCCGCTTTACAGTTGAGGGTGGCGGGCTCATGGCGAGGTACCACAGTGTCTACAGGGTGTTCTGTAATCCATGGTGGCGCTCCTTCATCTCCTGAAACAGAAATGATAGAGGATTTGTTAGATTTAGTAATAATAATTTGATCCTGGTAAACATATGAACTTTTTCGTGGTAATGTTCTCGAACCGATATGAGATTTGATCATAGACAAAAAGAATTAAATATAGACTGTCAGCAGTGCTGCGGTTACCATGGTTACCATAGGTTCTGGCGCACACCGTTGGGAGCGCCAATTCTTTTTGTCTATGGTTTGACTCAATGTGTTACTGACTTTCGGTCCTAAGAAATACTATGGTGCAGGCTTTTCCAAGACGAATGATATCAATTTGGGTTCACAACATTCATATCCATATTATCCACTACTTTACTCTTTTTAGAAATACAGATCCTTTACCATAATAAACATCTCAAATAAATTAGCAAACGTCACTTATTATTAGCTAAACTATATATCAAACACTACCTTTGTTCACTTATCTGTGGACAAGAAAGATCAAAGTCGTGAGAAGCAGCCTCAATCGTAACTCTTTGCCAAAGACATGCGAAGTTGTGCAGCTTGTTAGTGGTAATTTACAAGTCTTTGCGTGTGGCACTCTATCAGACCTTTCATGTTCGTGTTTCCTCATTTTTCGCGGTAAAAACTTCCTCAAGAAACTTATATTTTTATGGGGTTAATGGTTTAACCACAATGCAAATCAGCAGTGGAGTTTCCTATAGGAAATGACATAAATTATGTACTACAAGTTGTTGTTTGTTGTGTCTTTTGCAATTATTATAAACAACAGATTATATACAACAATTCCCATATGAATGTTTATAAATCTATATGTACTACAGCAATCACATTTTTGAAAAATGTATTTCATACACCTAGAAAGGAAAGGTGGTTCTAACCCCTAAACATTTTTGGATATAGTTTGGGGATCGAACCAGTCTCCCTGACGTCCGTGACGTTAACTACTAGGTTACCAGTACGTATATTCTTCATTTTACAATTTATTTTGTAAAATAATTTAAGTATAGATATATGATGGTACTAAGACCGAACTTCCCATCATCAATTACACTAACAACGCACACAAATTACACAAGACATCGCGGGGCGGTTTAGTTGTGGTCAAGTGGTTAGCCGCATTTCCACCCTCGTTTGCGCCCCAACCCTTCCAGAGGCATTCAAATATTTGCGTACATTTCCACGAAATATGTCCGCGAAGAATTTCATAAAAAAGTCCCCTCGTCGGTCGATTGCCACGAGAATTTCAGCATCATTTCAACTCCACTTGGTAAATGTTTGCATTTCGATTAGCTTTGTTTACAGTTCATTTTCAACGTTTGGAATGTTATGGACGTGTTTGCGTTTAAAGTTAAATCATGCTGGGTGGGTAATGTTTAGGGTGCTATCTCACCTGAAAAATCCTTTGGATGAATTAGAAATTGGGGTTGGTTTGGAAAATGTGTTTATAATAAATTGATTTGAATATTGTATCCAAAGTTCATCCAAACAGATTATTTACTAAAACACTTCCTATGGGGATTTTGGATTTGTGAAAATCGTGTAATATTTTAGTTACGTACTTTTCATACAGCAAACACAATATTTTGTGGACTATGCAATAGCAAAGTTAAAAAATTACGATTGGTACTATAGAATACTGTAAATAAAAATAAAAAAAATTATCCATCTGTGTCCTCCCTTATTGCAAACGCAAAGCTTGAGTATAACTGCAATAAGCATTTTATACATATATTCCAACCCCGTACGAAGGACGGGTACTCTGCTAGTGAGATTATATAACCTATTATATTATATTATAATATTATATTATATCAGATTATGTGCTAGTATTATAATAATGATAAACGCAAAATAATTTCATTAACGATACGGTTTTCCATTTTTCATCGGAATTATTTTCTTCGCCGAAATCGGTTAACAAAGAGAACATTTACAGCTTAAGTCCTCAACTTCAACTGATTATTGTTTAACCATACGTATAACTAAGAACGACTTTAAATTAGCAATGCTTGTGTTTTAAATGGCAGTTGTTTCGTGTTATGACAAAATAGTATATATGATTTCTATGTTCTGTGACTTTTCTTCAGAAAAAATATAGATTTGATTTCAACAATTACGAACAGACGTTACTGTGTTTTGGATACATTACGTATTACTCCTTCTGAAATGCTTTTGCATTCCAACTCATCCAAATATCGAAAGAGTATTCGTTGTAGCAAAATATAAAATGTTACTCAATGATTAGCACAAATATTTTTACAAAACTATATAACACATTTTATCGTTACTACTTTCTTTGTAATAGTCGTTCAAAAATTAACCGCTAATTTCTTTAACTTAAGCTGATTTTTTGTACCCTTGGGACAAGTGCAAAAGAAGAAAAAGAAGAAAGGAAGAAATAAGGACTTTTATAAAAGGTAAAATATAAAAGAACTTCCTTTCATGTTTTATGGTTATGGACAAAACTAGTTTGTATTCCTACGTGCATTTTTGATCCATTAACGCTATTACTGAATTTTCAGCAGACCCTTTCATGTTGACAGGCTAATATCATCTGCCTTCAATTACGGTCAATTAAGGTCCATCAATTATCAATGGCTGTCATGCATGTATGACTCCCCCCTCCACACCGCAAATGGACAATAGAATATCTCAATCAACCGTGTGAAGTACTGTGTGGATATGTTTTGTGTGTTAAATAAATGTGGGTAGTTGAAAACGTCATCGAAGGATGAGTTTACTGATTAAAATATTGTTGAATTTTACGTCATGAAAAATGTTTTTCGTATAAATATGCATATAAAATTGTACATACATCTTCCATATACCACACTTCCCCATCTTTCAGTCATAAAAAAATTCTTCAGATAAAATAGAAGATTTTGGAAACAAACAGCAATACGCAACTACTTTTCTCATTCATTTCGTGATTCAAACCACCATGATTTCCACCTCCTAATATAATGGTACGTTTCACCTCTAACTTTCCTTGGTTATTATTAATTTCAGAATTAGCAGAGCGATTCACAAAGGTACGATTGCCAAGAGAATGTTTAGAATGTTAACTTTGACGAGAAGCAAGACAAAGTACTCTCTTGGGACTGGTAAGAGTGTAGACGTACAGAAACTTAGGTGTTTAAGAAGATAAGAACTTTGAATGTTGTTTTGGAAATTTTGTCTCTTAAAATTATGTAAGTTAAAATATGTTCTAAAACAAAACTTTAATCGATTAAATGGTATAGTTTATGACTTCATCTTGTGTGTTTTGTAATTGTTTTATTTAATTTACAACTTCAAAATGTTTAAATTGCGAGAACAAAAGATATCCAGGCACAAATGAACTTAAAACTTACTTTCGTGTACAATAAATTTATAAAAAATTCGTATTATTTTAAAACAAAATGAAACAAAATACTGTCGTGTATAAACATTTTACCGTTAAAATTATATTATTTTATTTACGTGACTTATTAAAGCAATTAATGTTGTCTGTGTATTAAATTCCAAAACACTTCCAAAATGTTTGTATTTTATTTCGGAATTATGTTTCATAAAATCATGTTACTTGCTAGAGGACTAAATTTCCAAAACGAAAAATCCAATTGAGGCTAAAATGAGTATTTTCTTTCAAACCTAAAATATATTATTTGTTCATTCACCAATTAAAAGCATACATTTCACTTTTCTAAAATTACACTAAAATCAAATACCCACCCCCTTACGTAATAATTTGCACCACTAGATTCTACGTAAAACTAGCATTATGGTTGATTAAATCTTTCAACAATGTCAGATTAAATCAGAACATCTCTGTACATTAAAGCGACTTATCCAGCACATCTATCCAGACGCTTAACACATCACAAAGATACATTAAACTGAACACAGGGATCTGTTGGTGAAGTTTAAGGGATGGAGCGTCACTTGCACACAGAGGAACAAAGGAAGCAAATAGTACCTCTCAAAGTAACATTAGGGGATGTGCAAACAGCTGGTGTGAGATTTAAAGACACTGATGGATTTACAACACGTTTTGTTGCCATAAATTATTCAAGTTTTTATAGATAAAAAAGAATTTTTGTAGTAGTAGTATTTTTTCAGGTCGGTAGGGTCTAGCCTGGAATTTTTTCACCTTACTTCAGGTTAGGTTTAGGTTATTAAATTCATTGATGATTAGTGCGATTTGAACCCGAAACCTCAGGGACGAAAGTCACGCCCACTAGACTAGCTCACTAGCAAAGTATATCTTACTGACACCATACACTTACATGCGCTGTTGCTGTGCACATTGGAGATATTTTAGGTTTTGAGAGTGAGCTGGTCTAGTGGTTGAGCGCGGGGCTTAGTTCCAAAGATCCCGGGTTCAAATTCCGTCAATCACCAATAGATTTTATCAACGTGATATCGCAACCGTCAATGTGTTAATACAGTTATAGGGGGAAAAACAACTAACAAAAACGTTAGGTAATCTCTTTCTTATACTTTGGGACTTTAGATGGTAACAGCAGTATGATGATTTAACAGCACAATAAAATCTCAAGCAACACGTGTAGGGTATAACTATTGAATTAATGAACTAGACTATTTACGAAAAACACTAAGTAAAATACTATATTCCATCCAATAAATTTAACTCAATTTGGTAGCAAAATAGCACTATTTATGTCACAAATATATTGATATCTTGTAATGATTATAATTTTATTTTTCAATACACAGATAATTTTAATTCAATTTTGTGAGGTGAGTAAACAGTGGATTAATAGAATAAAAAGTTGAATTTAAAATTCACCTTAAAGTGATTTTTAAAAGACATTTGTGATAATTTCGAATACATTCCTATCAATATCCAATTTATCACGTGGAACGCCTCAGTTCCCTCCAAGAAATCTTTCCCAGCTGTTGTAGTAATTTCTTTGTTGCATTTCCTCCCTTCCCCTGGACCTTAAGGGTGGTGGAGACTGATATAAATCAAAAGCCCCCTCGGCCAGCAGCGTCCAGTTTTAATAACACTAAC